AATAATATTTATTTATTAATATTTTAACTTCTGGATTTAAGTTGGGTAGTTATTAATTAATTAATAGTTGGTACAAATCGAAAACGTGGTTACGGATCAAAGCGGATCTACATGATCATTTGCGGAGTCTGGAATTTCGGTAAGGGTAGACTTTTCAAACTTAAAATAATATACTATAATTTTAAATTTTTATTTTTATATTATAAATTAAAATAATAGTTAAAAAATCTTCATGTAGTAAAATCTATTTATAATAAAATTTATATTAAATAATTGAATTATTTCATTTTTAATATAAATAATTAAAGAATTTGAAATGAATTCATTTTTTATTTTATTATGAAGCTTCGTTTTTACCATTTTTTATAATAAAAAATACTTTTTATGTTGTTACAATTTTAATTCACTAGTTATTTTCTTGTTCATCTCAATCTCAAATTTGAATATAAAATCTAAAATTTGAAATTTGTACGGAGGTAGTAATTGACAATATAAAACTTTTAAGTACTTAATTAGTTATCAAGATTTTTAAAATAGTATATCAGTACGTAGTAGTGGAGTACTTAATTATTTAAGTTATCAGTTATATTTGCTTCTCTAGTAAAAGAGATTTTACCCCTCCACAAGTGAGATTGACAAATATGAAATACGACAACATCATATTTCTTCACCTTACCAGTTTCTACAATCAAACAATTTTTTTTCTCTTTTTACAAGTTAATTAAAGTTTATACTAGTTTATTTTTCTTTTATACTAATTTATCTTCTCATTGCTTTTCTCTATATGACTATATCCAAGATTTTTCCTTTTATTGAGTTTATATATGTTCCTTTATGGATCTATACTTTTTTTTTCAATTTTTTTCAATTTTTTTCAATTTTTTTCACTCAAATCCCATTCTATTTCATATAACTTTAATATAACTTCAATATTATCATAACATTTAATTTTATTTGTAATCTTAACAACTCTAAATTCTAAAAAGAAATTAGACAATTTTTTATGATGATAAAAAATCAATAAGTTTCATTACTTAAGTATTATTTCTTTCATGTTAAAATAATAGATTTTTTATTTTATCTTCAAATGAAATATTTGAAAACAATTTCTATCTTTTTTTTCAAAAATAATTGCTTTGTCGTGCTACCGCCGTAGTCTCTTTTTTCAATTTTTAAAGTTGTTGGATTGAGATTTAAGGAGACTGACACTGGTACAGTGGGGCTAGATATTGAAAAAATAATGTAAAAGACACCAATTTTTT